AACATTGATATCTTTATGTTCCTATGTCACAATTATTAGACTTTGTTAATCAGGTTAACACTGATATCTTTATGTTCCTATGTCACAGTAACTGGACTTGGTTAATCAATTTAACATTGACATCTTAACGTTCCTATATCACAATTATTGGACTTGGTTAATCGGGTTAACATTGATATCTTTATGTTCCTATGTCACAATTATTGGACTTTGTTAACCGGGTTGACATTGACATCTTTATGTTCCTACATCACAATTATTGGATTTGGTTTTCAGTTGTTATAGGAAACAGCGACAATAATTTAAACAAAACGTACGCTGAATAATAAACTGGTAAAACTAATGTAACATATCCGTTAAATATCAATAAAAAAAAAACAGGTTATTTGTGAAGAGAACAATTCAAACACGTTATGCACAAGCTATACAGTTCACCGGTATAAGAGACATAGAGTTTGTTCCTTCTTCTTCCTTATCCAGGCTGATCTAACTCGGTGACAAATGACAATTCCAAGGGTACACTAGGCCTAATATTTCATTTAGGTCAAGTTTCATAGTGTTGTTTTTTGAAACCAAGGAGAGATAGATTACATTTAATGTTTTAAGCTAAAATATTTTAATTGGATCCCAGTTTTATAGAACCATCAGAATATTGAGTGATATTTTTTTTTATCAGAAAGAAATGGGCAAGAGAAATTAAAACCTCTTGTTTCCAGTAATATATAAAGTTTTAATTAAATTCACTTTGGGTTTAGTAATTTCCTAACCAAGTGTCACGGCGAGGGTTTTGAGAACGAGAGTTGTTACACATCGATCAGAACTCGAGTTTATAGAACTATATTTCTTTATTCTTATGCAATTTTCACTAAGCTAAAATCCTCCTTTTTTATATTTGATGATCCTGGTGGTTACACGAGTATATTTTGTTTTTGTATTTTAATGATATGAATGTGTTAAACAATTATATATAAAATTCACATACCTCTGGTTACGATAACGGATATTAACTATTAGAAAGACGCTGGCTAGCAAGATGCCCAAGATCGAGAAGGTGGCTAGAAGTGAGTAGACTGTGACGCTTATCCTTGTCCTTTCGATGACAATCAAAGTCCTGTCCATAGGAGGGTCTGTATCACCTAATACAAAATATGAAGGAGAAAGTATTACTGAAGCCAATAATGATATACTTTGTTGTCTATTATGAGGAAGTGATGTCCATTGGTAACAACATTATTACTGAAGCCAATAATGATATACTTCGTTGTCTACTATGAGGGAGTGATGTCCCTTGGTAACAACATTATTACTGAAGCCAATAATGATATACTTTGTTGTCTAGTATGAGGGAGTGATGTCCCTTGTTAACAATATTATTACTGAAGCCAACAATGACATACTTCGTTGTCTACTATGAGGGAGTGATATCCCTTGATAACAACATTATTACTGAAGCCAATATTGATATACTTTGTTGTCTAGTATGAGGGAGTGATGTCCCTTGGTAACAACATTATTACTGAAGCCAATATTGATATACTTCGTTGTCTACTATGAGGGAGTGATATCCCTTGATAACAACATTATTACTGAAGTCAACAATGACATACAAAGAGTGTCAGAATTTAAAATATATATTCTTTTTCTCCAATTGTCAAAATAAAAGGCCTTTACTTATAGTTTATAATAGTATAAATATATTATATGTTATTGTTAGACTTAGGATTCTTCTACACCAGGTATCTGTGACTTATTGAAGTTATTAGCGATAAATTCAACAATAAATAAACAGCACGCACTTCACTTGTTTTCAAAATAATATATATATATATATATATATATATATATA